CTGAAACTGTTCTGGGTTGTTCTAAATTTCAGTTATATTTTAAAATATACTGTGCTTTCAAACCCAAGTGATTACAGGACCCATTCTTCATATTTCATAGACATATTACACACACATACACATACACACACACACACACACACACACACGTATTGCCTCAAACAGTCTTTGGGAATTAAACATAAACAAGATTATCATCTACCTTTCAAATTATACCTTTTGGTACCTAACCATGGTTGAGCTATCAAAAGACTTCGAAGTGACTATATATATCACTATCATAATAGGATTATAATGAAATTATCATAATAAAATCATAATAAAATATAGTAATGCTTTCTGATAAGAAAATAGTCCATGGTTTTCATTACAAAACTTATGGAATCATTACTATGTTTTCAATAACATTTAGTACTTTAAATTTTTACTAAAGATAAAATTTTAATATCTTATTAAGCCACTGCTTATTAATAAAATGTTGGGATTCAAATTTGTTGTGCTATCTTCATAAGCATGTGAACCAACAGTCAAAGAGCCCTTTGGAAGAAAGTATGTGGGGAAAATGGGTCTTTAGGAAACTTACATTATGCAATTTAATTCTTAAACCCCTGAAAAAATATAAACATTCATGAGATCTACAAAATAAACCTTAAGTAATCAGAGCAGAAACTTTCCAATTTTAATTCTTGCCCTTCACTTCAAATGAGAAATAATCTATATAAGAAAAAAAAGAAAACTTCAAAATTTATGACAGCATCCTTGTTTTCAAAGAAGCCAATTCCTCAGACTGACATTACGAAATACCTATGTGCACCAAGATTTTTTTCAAATTATTGTAGATGAATGTCTTAGTAAAGTTATCATAAAGTTTTATCAGATTTAGAATTAACTGCTCTATTTCAAGATGTTAGCCTCGAGAATAAAATAACACCTGACAGTTTGAAGAAAAACTCTCCAAAGTCTATAAGAATGACTTAACTACCTAAAATGTTCTTTTTCACATAAAACAAAGTAATATGCAAATTAAATGTAAAGATAAGTACATATGTACATGTGTGCACATACTAAATGTTTAAAAGGATGCCAGTTCTGTAATATATTATGATTCAACAATTCATTCTGATGTAGCCCACATACAGGAATACCATAGGAAGCACTAAATTTGTTTTTCCTTCATTCTACTTTAAACTGAAGCACACACACATTTTTAAAAAGTATTATAAAAAGCGTTTTTAAAAAGTATTGTTTCACATGTAAACAGTGCCATCTTCTGGCAGTTGGAATTGTTTGTGTTAACGTAAAATTTATCACGGGATGTCACTTCCGTTTTCTTGACAAGTTATGTGTACAGTTTATTGAGTAAAAATCCTTAGTCTAAAACCAGTTAATTCCTTAAAAATAACCTTTAAAAAATAAGAGCATCTTTCTGCACATCTTCAGATAGATATAATTTAAAGAGAGAGTATGTCAGGAACCCTTGGTTCTGCTACTACATCTACTAACTGGATGCTGAACCTTAGTCTAATTATACAGCTGCTCTGGACCTCAGTTGCCACACCTGTAAGATTGCTCAACTTAGTCATTGCTACTTCTGTCCTAAAATTCCACTTGATTCTAGCCTTGGAAATGTTTGAGTGGTTCTAGTTTCAGCGACCTAATGTGGAATACAGGCCTGTTTCTGACACACTTTTTCATAGTTATCTCTTTTTATTAATATGGATTTGTTTGGTTATGCACATCCCTTGAATTTTTATCAAAAATAAATCTTAATGAATACTTCATCCTGTCCAAATAGCTTTCTTCTAAACATTACACATTAGAAGGAATTGATTAAATCGTGAATAAAGGTAAACTCAAGTAACTGAAAACAAGAACAAAAATGTGCAACGGTAAGAGTGCATGCTTTAGAGGAGATGGAGCCAGGGGCAGGGCAAGCACCGCAAAGTTAATGGGAAAGAAGGCCCTCAAAGCTTCTGGATTCTTAAGTGTCACTGCAATAAACAGGAAACAGAACAGAACAGGCTCAGAGTCTGGGCTGCTCCTCCTAACATTCCTACAGTTTCTGCCAACATCACGCTGTACTGCAGGCCTGCCACCTTGGACTTATCTCTACTACCATTTCATTCTTCCTCCATTACAGTCATCAACCCAATTCTTGTTTCAAAATGTCTTGTTCTGATGCATACTTCTTATTCAAACCCACTGGCATCTTTCTAGCTCTCGCTCTCAACCTCCTAGGCCTGCACTACTAAAATATCTATCAGAGTCTTCTGCTTTTCAAAGAGAGATTTAAGGACTTGCCTCAGAATCATCTGGGATGCTGGCTAAAACATGCCTTCCTTGAGACCCCATAAATAGATCAGCTGTGTCCAACAGTAATATAACATGAGCCACATGTGTGATTTTAAATGTTCTGGTAATCATGTTAAAAACTGAAAAGAAACAAGTGAAATTATTTTAATATTTTACTTACTTTGATGCATGTAAAATATAATTTCAATTTGTAATCAATTTAACAGTATATTTTTTATACTGTCTTCGAAATCTGTTTTATACTTGTAGCATACCTCAATTCAGCCCAGCACATTTCAAGTGCTTAAGAGCCACCTATGGCTAGTGGCTATGGTCCTGGGCTGAACCAGACTTGGAGAAGGAGGAATAGAAGCCAGGAATCTATGTGCTGATTGAAATATCCAAAGGATTCTTTCACACTCTCAAGTTTGAGGACTGTCACTCTAGACTGTCCTGTACACAATTTATTCTATAACCTTTACTGAATTTACATTTGACGAAAATGTCCCTTTAATTATGTCAATCTAAGAACCTAGAAATCTCTGGTAAGTCCAGTTCAATCAACTCAGATGGGTGTTCAAAGCTCCCTAAAAATGGACTCACCTTATCCATCCAACCTGCTCTCCAATTGGAAAATGTTTTGAAATTTTCCTAGGCAAGTATTCAAATGCTCATTCATTCAACAAATATTTGTGGAGCAGTCACGAAATGTCATCATGGAACCTCCACCAAACAGGTTAGATACAACACACAATTCACCTTGTATTACAACAATGTAATTGTAACAACGAAAGCAGTGCTCTGAAACACGCCATGAGGTGCTGTGAGAATATAAGAGCAGGACCTTATAGTCTGAGGGGTCAAAGAAAATTTCTTTAATGTAGTAACATTTAAGTTAAAAAAGAGTATAAATGTAATTAGGAATTTGAACAGATAAAATGAAATTTCTAGGCAGAGGAAAGAAAGTACATTACAAAAAGCCCTAAGGTGGAAAAGTTAGTAGCGGAGCAGGCAGGTAGGAAAGTAACCCGAAAGGCGACTGAAGTAGCCAGAAGCCAGATAAGGCCAAGCTTGTGAGGTTTCAATGTCTTTAGCTCAGGTATGCACATTTACACAGAACTAGACCATACACTCCTTGAAAAGTACAGACCACATCTTCTGAACCTTAATTATTTCTTATCTCTCCTCACAGAGCAGAAAGCATTTAATAAATACTTCCTCTATATATGGAAAACATGTATTTTACTAAGCTTTTAAATTTTACAATCTTCAAATTATACTAACATTTATTTGCATGTTCGGATAGATAATTTACAAACTATTTTACTATGAAACTCAAGGAAGTCTTCCCTGAAGTGCTGAATATTAATATAAAGTTCCTTAGAAAAACAGAGACAATTTTTATATGGAGTAAGGTGTCCATTGTGGTCCACACGCGTGACTCTAGAATTCTGGCTCTAACCCAACGTCCTAGTGGAAGGAGTGAAAAGATGGGGATTTAAACACACACGTACTCACGCACCACCAAGACTAAAGGATGTTAAAGGAAACATTTTATTGGGTCAAGTCAGCCTGTTATTCCTTTGTTTTATTCTTCAAACTGATTAAAATTGTGATAGAATTCTATGATGGCCCCTCCAAACTCATGGCCTTAGGGGGCACATCGCATAGAACCCCTCTCCTGGAGTGTGGCCAGAACCTGGGATGATGACGGGATACCACTGCCAGAATTAGGTTTATCCAGGCGAGATTATCAGGTCTGACCTAATCAGGTGAGCCTTTAAAAGGGGCCTTGAAATCAGAGACTTAAGTGTCACAAGGCCTATGGAAGGACTATCTGGCTAAGGCACAAGACTGGCTCTGGCCAACAGCTAGCAAGACAAGGACCTCAGTCCAAGAACCACAAAAACACTAACTCTGGCAACAACCAGGGGATTGGAAGAGGACCCCAGACCTTAGCTGAGATCCCACGTGTAGACGCCTTTATCTGCAGCTTGTGAGACTGGCAGAGATACGCCATGCCCAGACTCCTCGCCTACAGGATGCAGAAAATAAATGTTTCAAACCACTAATTTGTGGTAATGTGTTATGGTTATGTAGCAATAGGAAACAACTCAGGCATTCCTCAATTAATTAAATAACAATTAAGTATGTCCGGTGAAGTTTTTCAGACCCATTTTACAAATAATTTTTCTGGCCGCTTTAAGAATAAAATTGTTTCACAATTGACGTGAACATTAATTATACACCATCTCCCTAATACTTCTCAGCCTAACATGAAATCACTAAATTTGGGAATCAAAATTCCCTGAAAAGTACTTGTCAGTGGGCCTTTTTGGGGACCTGCCGCCGCCTGCCGGTGGGCAAGGTGGACGGAGCCCAGACTGGGCCTCCAGATTCGGTCCCCGCCCCCACCACCACGCCGTCCCATGTCGGGCTGCGGAGGAGGCTAGCCAGCCCAGGGCCAACAGCAGACGAGGGGCAGAAAAGCGGCTGCGGCTCGACGGCCTAACCTGTCCCATTTCTCAGGGAAGGCCGCGATCCCGCAGCAAGCAGGCCCCCGAAGGCTGTGGCTGGGCTGCCAGCACGCAGTTGCTCTGTGAACCCCCAAAGCATTTGACAAAAGCTTCGACGGTGCACTGGGGAGCATCGCGGCCACTTAAGCCACAGCTGGCGGACAACTCATAGCACTTGGAGAACATTTTTGAAACTCGGAAGTCGTGCCTCTGGTCGCGCGGTCCTCCGGCCTAGGGAGCAGACACTTGCATCGGAATCTACTCGCTTCCCTCGGCCCCATCGATTTGACCACGCCCAGAAGGGACCCAAGGGACCGAGCAGCAGGTGAGCACCC